GCAGAGAGCATGGACGTACAAACAATGAGAGAGTCATAATGTGAATGCAGAGAGCATGGACGTAACTCAGGTGCTGACAAGAGAATGCTTAAGTAAGCTCTACATAGAATACATAGGATAAATAGAAGAGCATGACGTTAATAGTCTCAGTTTTGAAGACTGGTTAGGGAATCATGGCTACTCAGCAGTAAATGAAAAATGAATATTTAAATATATTTATATTATGAGCCAACACTCATAAACCAGCGGTAAAAAGGAAATTAAAAATTTAATGATAATGTAGTAACATTTTTTTTTACCAACTATGACTACCGCTGGAGAAAGAAAACATTGATCTTATTTTTATATTTTAAAAGACTGTTTTATCTTGAATTTTTATGTAGAATGAAAAACAGTTAAGATAATATTGAGTAGCTTTTATTTACTTTATTTATTATTTTGTGTTTTGAGAAGGGTCTTACTACATAGTCCACACAGTGCTATCTCTACCTTGTGGGTAACAGGATGACAGGTACCACTATGCTCTCCCTGACAGTGAACACGTGTTAACATGCCTCTCTCCTAACATGCCTCTCTCCCCAACCTTCAAGGACTTACTTGTTTATAGCATAGTTAATATTCATAGGTAAATTATTATAATTTATTACTGTATGCTGAAACTAATTTTAATTTTTACTAAAATGCTTCCCACATCATTGTATTGGGTGTAACTTGCCTAAACTATTTTAATTCCCTCACTTGGCTTTCCCAGATACACAAATTATTTGTAATGTGAAAGGTTCCTCCCATCAGCTCCTTCCTTTTCCCTCTCACTGACTCCTGGTTGGTCCTCTTACCATGTTCCCTTCCAGTCCACCCTGCACGTCTCCACCGGATTGTCCATTATAAGTAGGACTCTCCAAGTTCCCTATTTCTTTTTCTGCTCAACAGTGAAACAGTTCCCAACTCCTGAAGTAAAACGTCACTAATTGGAAGTATAGAAGTCTTATATATCAAAGTCTTATTTGAAGTTAGCCATGGCAGTACATGCCTCAAATCCCAGACCTCCTGGAATAGAGGCAGGAGGATGATGAATATGAGGCCTGCATGGAGCACAAGAGACCCTGTCCCATGGGGAGAAACAACCTATTTTGACTACTCACTGGGGCCATAGACTATCCCAGCATTCTGACACTTTACAATGATAAGCCTGAACCCTCAGTAGTCATTAGAGACAAATCTATATTTTTAACAGTGAATCTGTTTTATGTACACAGTTGAAGTTTACTGGTCACAGAAATTTGCCCCCCATTCTTCAGGGTAATGTATACATTGTATTCAACATATTCTTAAGTTAACTGGTGGCATCAATTTCAACCATGTTGCCAACATTTGCAGTGCCAATGAACGTCAGGAAGCAAATATGAAAGCACATACCCATGGGGTACATAGATGATGCTGAACAGAGATCAGATCACAGAGTCATTTCAGATAATACTTACATAAAGAGGTTTTTTCTTGAGTGTATCTATTCAATGTATGAAGAATTCCAAGAGAAAAACTACATATATCGCTGGGCCCGAGCATAGAGCAGGTCACAGGCGGCAGCTCTGTACCCAACACCAGAAAACCGAGATAAAGAGGGACTCCCAGAAGCTTTCACTCAGGCAGCATCCCAGGTAAAAATGAATCACCCCTGATGTCTGCTGTTAGAAGTTCTAATACAGATGCTGGCCTCCGAACTTATACTACTCAGACCTTTGAAGGGCCACTGACAAGAACATCAAACAGCTAGAGATTTACATCACTAATCTGAAGAAATCCCTCGTTTCGCCGTCTGAAGAGACCTCCTAAAATCGCAAAGATCCTTACTGGACTTGATTTACTCTCATACAATAGAAAAGACTGTATACAGCTCTTGACTGTGTACAACCCTCAAAGAAGAAGGGTGCCTTTACATAGACAAGACAAGGAGGGTTAAAGAGAGCATGAAATAGGTAGTGAAGCCTAAGAAAAATCAGAGAGAGAAAGAGACAGATGAATGCTGGTACAAGAATTGATTTGCAGCCTCTCCAAGGTTGTCAACCCTATTTCCTTCCATCTTGGGACCATTATTTGGGTTCTTTTTGCTTTTTTCTGCTGATCCCTGGCTCTCAAATAGGCAGACTAACTCTGTGATATAACAGATAAATAATTTGGTAGCAAAACCTACTCAGATACATTATCATAAGTTAGCTATGGAAGACCACGAGACTCAAGATGAGGTTGTTACTTTATACAGGGTGTTTCCAAAACCCATCTCCACCCAACCTAAAAGGGGGGACTTCTGCCCCTAGACCAAGCAGAGAGGGGCCACCCAGAACCCCCTCTGACAGGTGATCTGAATTCTTGCTTAGGCTGCAAGGCTAAGCACTACAAGGGAATATCAATAAAAGATAAAAATATCTATCTGGGTTCCCTGAGGGACAAGCCTGACTGCATATGGGTTGATGTCAAAAGTATCCCCTCTCCAGGAAAACAACATCAGGATGGGTATGGCCCTCATACCTCACTGGAAAAGGACAGGGGGATTGGAGCCATTACAAGGTCCCCTTCAAATACTGGAGGTCAAGCCTCTATCCCTGCCTTCACAAGTTTAGAATTGCCACAGCCCTTCTATACTTAGAGAAGGGAGGAGATGTCAGGGGCAGCCCTGCTTACCCACTGTAGGCCTAAAATCAGCCATAGGCCTAAAATCAGCAATAGGCCTGTCATATATGTATACTAACGCCAAGTCTTGGGTCTCAGTGGAAGAACATTGAAACAGATGGCTATAAGCTAATGTCAACAGGCAGCTTTTGTGGAAATTTATAACCCTGAGTGGTCATGGACCCTGTAAATAGGTAGCCTTGGCAGACAATACCAGCTTAGATGGGGACAAGAGAGTCATAGGCAGAGTCATAGTGAATTGTCCCCTGAACCTTCACCCAGCCGATACCCGGTTCTGAAGATATCTGTATTCCCCCTGAACACCCACACTCCAGTGTCATTCCCTTCCCCACGTCCTGCCTTTCTGTGTTTATACCCCTGTGTGAATGAATTATGATTTGAGAAAAAATTAGAAAAACAAAAAAAAAGAACAGACATAAAAAAAACTACATATATCTTAATATCTTGAAGTGACTATTTGATTTCTCTGTAATTATACTTCTCACTATAGAGATTGCCTATACTAATTTAATATCACTAATCAAAAATAATCATATATATTAAATAAAAAAATTGAGACAGGGTCTCACTGTTTAGTTCTGGCTGGCCTGAAACCCACCATGAAGACCAAGCTAACCTCAAACTTGCAGAACTCTAGCTGTCTCTGCCTCCCAAGTCCTGCGATTGAAGGTTTGTGCCTCCACAGTTACTTTATAATGCAGGGAGCACTGTGGAAGGAGGATCAGATGCTGACATGCCTGCTGCACACACACCAAGACCTAAGTTTGCATCTCTAGCATTCATGTAAATGCAGAGGCCAGCAGCATCCCTGTGTAACTCTAGCAGTACGCGTTATAAGATGGATCCCTGCAGGTGAACAACCAGCCAGCCTACCTAATTGATGAGCTCAAGGTTCAATGAGAGATCCTGTCTCAAAAGTGCAGTAATGGAAGAACCCAATGGTGACCTCTGGCCTCCATGTTCTTGTACACACATGGTCATGAACAGCTGCATACACACACACACACATACACACACACACACACACACACACACACATATATATATATGAAAATTATCACATGTGAAAATTATCATGCATGGGTTAAAATCATGACAAATCACAGAGATGGTTAGAAATGAGATTAGAGAGAGAAAATGGGCCGAGCAGTGGTGGCGCACGCCTTTAATCCCAGCAAGCACTTGGGAGGCAGAGGCAGGCGGATTTCTGAGTTCGAGGCTAGCCTGGTCTACCAAGTGAGTTCCAGGACAGCCAAGGTTACACAGAGAAACCCTGTCTCAGAAAAAAAGAGGAGAGAGAGAGAGAGAGAGAGAAAGAGAGAGAGAGAGAGAGAGAGAGAGAATGAGAATGGGGGAAGACATTTGAGGGAAAAATAATTTATTTAGGAAATCAAAAGGAGTTGGAAGTTCAAATACAATCATGTTAAAAAAAATTGGAGAAGCTAAAAATCCATATGTAGCAAATCAAATATGCTAAAAACCCACCAACAATTATAATAAGGAAATAGATCAGAATCATGAGAAATGAGATGGTTAATGAGAATAAGGATATGGATATATAAATTATTTAAACACTAAAATAAGAAATTTATTATTTTTACTTCCTTGTTTTTTGAGACAGCCTCATGTATTTTGGCTGGTTCTAACTCACAATATAGTAGAAGATAACCCTTAACTCTTAATCCTCCTGCCTTCACCTTCCAGGTTCTGGGATTCCGGGCATATGCTACCTCCCCTGACAGAATTTTATTCTTCAGACTGTTGTGACTCACAATCGCTCTGGGTAGCACGCTGGTATTTAGTAAACAATGCTACATATTGAAATAATGGGTTAGCAAATATAAGGTTATCCAAGAAAGCAAGAGATATGAAAATATGTATTATGAGACAACTCATGAATCATAAGCATGAGAATCAATGCTGTTTAACACACATACACACACACACAAACACACAAAGACTGAAAATATTACATAGAACCTACGAGTGATGGCCAAAATCAAAATGGTGACTACGTTGCTGAATATGAAAGGCAGTGAGGGAGAACACAGTCTGTGTCTCCGTTTTGAAAATTGTGGTACAAGTGTGTGCAGTTTTCTCTTCTCTAGTCTTTTAAGACTACCGGAAGCAGGAGTCAGGAAGTATAACACGAAGCCTGGAAGACACGTGAACATGTGGAATGCCATCAAACTAATAACAGCAAAAGAAGAACGAACTCTAATGCAGGGCTGAGTGGTCTGGAACAAAAGAAACGGCTCTAAGAATTTATTCAGAAATAATAAAAGACAAGAATTAAAGTCTGACAGGGTGTGACGAAGATAGGACCACACAAAAATGAAAATCTTTCAGAGAAGTCTACATTTTCCTTCCTAACTCCTTGTTCAGTGGCCCTGAGCTATGAAGCTATCACACAATCATCACCGTGGACCTGACACAGCCACAAACACAGGCCACATTTTCACACAATCATCACTGTGAACCTGACACAACCACAAATACAGGCCACATTTTGAGTTTCATTTTGAGCATCAACTTAGCAGCTGAATTGAAAGAGATAAAGAACAGGGGTGGGGGTGGGGTGGAGGCACTTAGTAAGCACACCTAACAAAAGAACTTGGCTTTACCTCATTAGAATTCTACCCTAGACCTAAGACTGAAAAAGTTTCTAGTGGCTTCTCATTAACTTCAAGTGGGGTTTGGAGTTTTTTTGTTTTTGTTTTTGTTTGTTTTGCTTTAAATAAGAGGTTACTTTGTGAAAAATTTTATATGCAGGGCCATCAAGAATACTTATTTCTCATTTTCCTCATAAATGCCTGTAGTGCAGTTCTATGCCCTGAGTTATCTGGCATCATCCACATGAAGTAAGGTGGAAGTAACTCACCCGGTGTCTCCCATTATGCACCCGGACCAGGTGTCCTCGCATTTACACTCACCTAAGAGACAAGGAACACACACGCCTGTTACAAACTCAATGCAGCGGCACTCAAGTGGCTTTCATTTTATCTTAACTTTATGTCCAAATGGTTTTTAAAACTGCTTTCTAATTGTACTTACACTAGATGCTTTGGCTGTGATGTATAAAAACAAAATGCATTTGGACCTCATGGGGGTCATATACATTGACCCATGCTTCACAAATGGTCATGTTTATAAACCACTTAAGGTAGCTACTTGGAAGATAGTCAAATACCAGTGAAATAGTAAAAAGTTAATGGCACTTCTATAGGACCCCCAGGTTCAACAGGTTAGTGGGAAACTGCAGCGCCTTCCCATTGTGCAGGAAGTGTGTGTGGGGGGGGGCGGGGGACGGTCTGGGCACTTAGACAGAAAGTCCTCACAATCAGGCTGCCTGGCTTGAAAATCCTAATTTTCACTTAACATATGTTTAATCCTGAAGACAATATTCTTTTATGATCTATATACTTCATCTGTAACAGGTGTCCTGTTATACTGGAAATTTTAAATAGTTGGTGAATACATGTAATACATGTAATACAGCATTTGATCATCCAGGTTGATGATCTCCATAAAAGATAATTCTCATTACAAGTATCCATATTTATAACATTTGTCACTAAAATAATTAAATAAGCACAGATATAATGAAATTGTTGCTTCAATTGTCGCGGTATTGTTCTTGGAGAAGTAACTTAACTACTTTGTACATGTTTTCTTTATGGATGCTAAGGCTAGTGTGGTTGACCTGCTCTACACGCTCCTCGGCCCTGCATCAGGTCTGCCCGCAGCAAGGAAGTGCTGGGTCTTGAGCCATACGCAGGTTAAGAAAACATAAGAAAATGCAGTCAAGCCGGGCAGTGGTGGCGCACGCCTTTAATCCCAGCACTTGGGAGGAAGAGGCAGGCGGATTTCTGAGTTCAAGGCAAGCCTGGTCTACAGAGTGAGTTCCAGGACAGCCAGGGCTACACAGAGAAACCCTGTCTCAAAAAAACAAACCAAAAAAAAAAAAAAAAAAAAAAGAAAAGAAAAGAAAATGCAGTCAAAGTCCCAAACCACAGAAAATTCTCCGTTAGAAAAGTCCAAATTCCAAAACCAGCTACCTTTGTCCCTTCTTGGGTTAAATCCAGCTTTGACTTCATCATCACATGGTTTCACTGTTATACATGGAAAATTTTTCAAAAATGATGTAAATTTGCCTTTATTTTCTTTGAAATCAACGTTTTGTTGCTCTATTCCATAATCATGATCAAGCAACTGAATTAAAAAAGAATCTCATGCTAGAAAATATTTAATAAGCTGTCTATCTTAATAAATACAACCAAATCACACAGGACTAAAACTTACCACTCGCTAATTTTCTCTTGTCTGAGATTATACCAATATTGTGGGCTAATGACTGAGCAAGTGTAACTGCCATTAAATCCGTTTTGCCAAACTGAAAAACAAAACCGAAAGATATGTAAATGAACATTGTTTTCCATTTAAGACAGGCTAGAGAAAATGGCACAAACAATTGGAAACAAGCCATTCCTAAGCATTTTCTTTCTTTTCGCATGTGTGATATGTTTCTGAGACAGGGCTTTCTGTGTTGCTTAGGCTTGCCTCTAACTCATGGCGAGCCACCTGCCTCAGTCTCCTTGGCGGTAGGATTATAGGCATGCACTACCATACCCTCAACGTTTTCTTTAGCAGAGTCTAAGCATCCTGTAGCTAGTTCTGACCACACATTGGGGATGACGTAGTAGCAAACACATTCAACTGTGATTAAGTCCTAGAAGGAAGAGTACGACTCAGAGAAACAGTCATCTCCTAGCTTGGAAACTTAAATATAATCCAAATTTCACTTGATAACATTCCTGAAAAACATAATAACTAATGGCATTAAGCCCATCTTTTAAATAACACATAATGAATCTGTCTGTGTCTGGGACTCGCCTTCACCCGTGTGGAACAGAAAGCAAGTTTAGCAAACAAACATAATGAGGGTCAGGAAGTCAGGATGCTCTCTGTGGCCAATCAGATCTTTCATTTTCCAGTTTGTAGCCTTCCTGAGACTGGAGTGTTTTCCTTTAGAGTGTTTCCATTAAGTTTAGTGTGTTAGGAGTAAGTCCTTCTTCATGGAAGCTCTTCTCTGCCTTTTAACTTTCCCCAAGTTTGTCAAATACTGACCAAAGGAGAAAATATCCAATTGGTTTGTTAGGTGGCAACCCAATGTTTCAGAGATCACTCAAATCATTCAACAATGTAAACACTTGGGCTTTACTCTTATTTTCAATGAAGGTTAATGCATAGAGTCTCTCTCTCTATGAACTGCTTAGTCTGGAAATTATTCTATACAGGACATGAGTATGATCATCGAGTGATATTTTGTCCTCCGGGCACACAAAGGAGTCCTACTGATGACTAATGAAGCAATCTAGCATCTGGAGACTGTGGCTACCAAGCAATGATTTCTGAGGTCTAGGAGAGCATTTTCAGCCATCATACCACTTTTGTATTGCACAGATGTTCACACCTACTTCATTCACGCCTCCTCCTCTCAGCAGCGAGCAAATCCCACCAATATAAGCTGCCCCGCTCCGGCTACTCTCAAATTGACTGCCCCTTTCAGAAAAGGAAATGAAAAGGCTTACTGCTCACAGTCCAACATCTCAGCCACTCCCAGAGTTCATTATCTAACTTGTTTTCTCAAAGCATACGATAGTACATTTCCCATAATATAAAGAAGGAATGTAAACATTATTTACACACATATTTTAAAAATAAAGGTTTCTGAGGTTGCTTCCCCATGTGATCAATACATATATCTACTAAAATCAATTGCTGATAATGATATTCTGAGGATACAGAACTCACTTTTGTAGAGTTTTAGCCCAAATAAATGTCATACATATAACTAATGACAAAGTATCAGACATTTCTACAATGAAGAGCCATCAATAAAAGAATCAGTCCATACTCTTCAAAAGTATCAAATTCAACATGGAAGAAGGTTGAGAAAATAATTATTCAGCTTAAAGGAGAAGCTAATTAAACAAACTGTTCAGCTCTGTACTGGATGCTGAAAGACACAAATGTAGCTATAGAAGGGTATTAAAACAACTGATAAAATCTGAACCCAGACTCTGGATTATGTAAGAATGTTCACGTGGTGTTGTTATTTTTAAGAGACTACACTGAATGCCTCAAGTATTTGGTAGTACCATCTGTCTCCAATTTGTACTTCAAAAAAAAATGAGAAAAAATGCAAGTCTTGAGTCTGGGAAAAGCACACAAGCAATTTCCTTATCAGATTCTGGCAACTTACCTCTAGATTTGAAATTAGATAAAAATTAAAGATAACAACCAAGATGCACCTTTCATATCTAATTATAATTGTCCTCAAGAGTTACGATTTTAGATAAGAAGGTCTTAAAATCCTACAGAATCTGTTTTGATGTTATGTCAGTATGTTAAATACTAAAAGAAAGAACACAAGAGTGAGAAAAAATTCCAGAGACATAGTTCTGACCTCAGAACCCACACCAGAGAGAACAGTGACATTTAAAATATTCCGATCTTAACGAATGTGATGAATGGCTAAAATTTGGTCTGCATGTGACAGTACATTTACTCAGTAAATGCTCTGATTAAGCACTGGGAAAATAATGAAATAGACATGCAATCGTACCTCAAATCACTTACATATCATGAAACTTTCAAACAATCTATATTGTAAAACATCTTCCAATTCATGGCCACATTACATCACACTTGTGTTGTGGTAGAATGATACATTTTAGTCAGAATTGAGAGAGCATTCAGCAAGGAGCCAGAACAAGTAAGCATATTCAAAAAATTACATACGAGAAAAGGTGGACCGCATCAGCCTTCTCCTTGATAAAATCCCTCCTGTATTTCATGAACTCACGCAGGGTGATCAGTGGGTTTTCAGATATGGCAAACTTGTTGTCAGCAGCCCAGGTTTCCATGGCAACCAATACTATCCTAGTCTTAAGTTGGTCTTTATAGATCTAGATTAATGAGATGAAAGGATCAGCTACACATGCGGTAAAATCAGTTGATGAACCACTACAAGGCTCCTCTAGTGGAAACAACTTAAATTAAAGAGACATTAGTGTTCTTAAAAGCGACCATTTGTTTTGGGATTTGAATGCACTTTCCTTAAAGAACATTGAATCAAATTATTTACCAAGGACAACCCAGCGAACAAAGCACCTTTTAGGCACAAAAGTGGTTTTCTTTCTACAAATATTTGTGCTCAGTTCAGGGCTTTTGCTGAACACATCTCTTGACACCCTAGATAAATAATTTGTGAAATCTTAAGTTTCACTAACAAAAAAACATATTAATAAAGAGTCTGTCAGGAAGTGACTGTTAGACAACCTGTGTCATGCTGAGGGAAAGCAGGCAGGGGAATTATTTTGTGGGCAGCTTGGCCATGGTGCTGGGCATCTCTGAAAAGGCTTAGTTCCTGCACTGTCTCTGTGCTGTTTTCCATATGTGCACTGTGAGTATCTTTGCTAAACCTGTCCTGTACAGTATGAAACGCACAAGAAAAAACACAAGCATATCTTCAGCCAGCCCACTTTCCCAGACTCATGTCTCTGGGGTCATCCTGGCTAAAGTGTAACTAGAGGAATTCAAATGTCAGCACCTTATTGCCTGCCTTCTAGCAACAAGGGGTGATGCTGAATGGGGTTGGTACTCACCACATCCGCCATGTTCACCACAGACTTCGCATAGGTGTTTGTATAGACAACAGAAAGCCGGTGCTTTTTAAACTGAAAGCAACAGACAACAGTGTAGGATGTTCAAAGTCACCGGAAATAATAATTTTAAGATAGAATAGAAAATACCAGAAACATTCCTAAGGCTTTCTTACAAAATCCTCAGGTTAGAGCCTTGTTCCTCATCTACCCTGAAGCTGAAAGCTGTGGATTGCAGATAAAGATGACGTCATCTTTATAGTTCAAAAAGTTCCACACTGAGGGACTGGAATGCAGCATATGGTATATATGCTTAGTGCACATGAGGCTCTGGGTTCAATTCCTAGCACACCCCTCCCGATATTAACCAAATAAACAAACAAACAAAAACCCACCCACTCCATCTACTTCATAGGTTTTTGGGGGGTGGTTGTTCGTTTGAAAGCTGTTATGATCTATAAGACAGTAAGTGCAAATGCAGCTACACATGTAAGACGCTACAAGTTCTCTGTGGTTCTGGAGGAAGAAGAGACCCTGATGTACGGATCACAAGGCGATGTAAATGTGGGCCACTTGTTTGGTTTGCTCGGCTTCTGTGGTATTCTAAGTCAGGGTTTATCACATAAAACCCAATTTCAGTCTTTTTAAAATGGCACCTTAACATGGCAAGCACTGAGGACAGTGATGGATAAGGCAGGCCCTCATGCTCCTAGAAGACAAACTCATCTGTGCCCCTGGGAATACCCCTAGTGAAATATACTGTGTCAAACAAACATCACACACACACACACACACACACACACACAGAGAGAGAGAGAGAGAGAGAGAGAGAGAGAGAGAGAGAGAGAGAGAAATGGCTCACTGAGAAAAGAGGGGGATAAGCAGGACTGGGAGAAGAAGAACCAACCTGAGCACCTAACTTGGGGCACAGAATCCAAGCTTAAACAAAAGGTTCAGGCATTAGAGAAATCCCAGGTGGAAGGGGTGTTCCTAGCCACTTGGGAGCAGGAAATCTGAGGCCAACGCTTTCTTAAGACTAAAGTAAAGGGAGAAGATAACGGGGAGGGGGAGGCGTAAGAAAGTGAATATGATCAAAATACATTACAGACACATATGAAAATGTCATAATAACATCACCATTATATATAGCTAACATATAAAAATATCTTTTAAAGGAAGTGTTTTTGGACCCTCATAAAAATTGCTAGTTACTTCCACCTAAGCATGTTTTCTATTTATAAGTTGTTCCTACTTAAAAAAAAAAAATGCTTCATTGGGCCTGTTTACTCTTTCCTTAAGTTCCCCTCCCCAATGTGTGACAGCTTGCGGTGTGCAGTAGACCTCACGCGTACAACATGGTAGCACAAATGGGCCATTGCCAATACTTACAGCCTGTTTGTCTTAAATTCTAATAAAACTGTCCTCCAGCTTCCAAAAGTGGTGTGTGTGTGTGTGTGTGTATACGTATGTGTATATATGTGAGTATATGTGTATGTGTGTATGTTTGTATGTATGTGTATTTATCTATATGTATTGTGTGTTTGCATATGTGTGTGTATGCATGTGAGCATGTATGTGTATATGTGTGTATATGTGAGAGTGTGTATGTGTGAGTATGTGTATGTTTGTGAGTGTGTGTATGTATATTTACAGAGATGACTTTTCCTAGTTACAACTGGATGAAGGTTTTGTTTCTTCTAAACATAGTTTTTATACAACACCTAGGAGCAGGCAAAGACAAAACGAAATGGAGCGATAGATCTTACCATGAGATGATCATTCACAATCATCAGTTCGATGTATTTGGTTTCTTCCTCTACATTCCGAGGAAATCGAAGAAGCTGTAACACAGTGAACAAAAAGACTAAGCCTTTAAACTTCGCTGCAAAAACTAAAAGCAAGCATGGGAGAAACCAGTGACACAAAAGTCTCTGCTTTCCTTCAGCAACAAGATAACACTGTCCTCTCACCTGGATTTCATTCTTCTCTGGGGGTACAGCAGATGGCCAGGGTTTTCCCAGAATGTTCACACAAACACAACTAAATATGAGTGTATGCTTCATATGCCTATGCCTTTCACACTTGTCTTCATCAAACCATTTTTATCTAACAACGGCATGGAAGCGGGATACTGACAGAGCACTCTTCTTGGGTTAGTTCAATCCCAACAGTGTTTCTGACAGTGATGGGATTGACACTTTTTCTGAGGAGTCTCCAAATCTAGGAGTGGCCACAATTTTTCTCTGGGGCAGTTCATAGATTCCCCCCACACACACACACACAAACACACACACACAAGCTGTAGAGGTGCGGTCAACATATTGCTGACACTCCCAAGTAGTCTTGGCATGTCTTTAGCTGCTACACCTCTCTGCTCAACAAATTCTCTGTACTTTCAAAACCACAATCAATCAATATTACGGGCAAAAGCTATCAGAGCAGCCGTCCCCACTACCCATCTATCACACAGTCATTACCAAGACCTGTGAAACTGATTTTTCTTTTATGCCATGGTTCAATAGTCCTTTTTTTTTTCTTCCGTAAATCTTGTTCACTTGTCCAAAGACTATTTTTGTGATGAGGACACAGCATCAAATCAAACCAGAATCAATACACGAATGAGTGGTATATTTTTAACAAACTAAAAATATACTGCTTCATAGATTTTTGTCTCTTTCTAAATGTATTCTCTAGTCCTTAAAAGAAGAAAAACTCTTACAACACCAATTTCAAAGAATGACGGACTACATTTTTGTATTTAAAAACTAAACAGATCACCAAATTGCACCCAATGACAACATTCTTTAAAGGAAAAAAAAAGTCCTAGTAGGGCAAGATCTTTCTCATTCCCCGTGGACTTACTAGTTAATCTAGCAGGCTTTCTGGTGAGTCTCAGCATCAATGCCTTGAACTTTCATTTGAATCACACATTATCACACAAACTCAGTTTCATGGATCCCTAAGGTGTTGTAATGCTTAGAAGAACTTCAGGGCACATGCTAAGAGGGTCTTTCTCCTATTCTGTCCACTCAGAATGCATAATAATAAGCAGCTTTGTAAATTAAATCTTCATGGAAGTTATTTTTACCTTAATTTAACTCAAGACATCCATGTGTCTGTAGCTAAAGAAGGTAGTGTCTTGTGGAACACACAGGCTTCTGAGGACGTGGTTCAGAGAGTATGTGCAGTGAGAGAGATCTCTAAGTCTGGACTTTATAAATCAGAATCCTAACTCCTTCGTAAGCTGTGTGCATTCTGTCCTCCTCAACACAGAGAGCTCACAACAGTACCTTCTTAAGAAGGACATCATGAAGAGCAAATGTGTTACTAGTCTGTCAAATTCTCCAGTTCAACAGTTAAAATTCTTATAAAATGGTCAAGTACATGCTAAGTTTTAACAAAAATTAACAACTATAATTCACATAAAAGTCTGTCTGAAAATACATCCATTTTACCAGGCACGAAAACCTATGCCTGTAATCCCAGCACTAGGGAGTCCAGGGCAGGATGAATGCTATGAATCTGAAGCCACCTTAGGCTACAGAGTGAGACCCTTTCAAAAACCAAATGAAAACAGAACAGTACCTGTTTTCTGTAAAGGCAATAGCAGGAGGAGCCTTCATGTCAGTTACTGGGGAGGCTGAGACAGAAGGACCATGAGTTCTACAGCTGCTTATAGAGCAAGTGCAAGTCCATACTGGACAACTAAAGCAGACGCTAGCCCAGTGGCAGACTACGTGCTTGGCGTGTGAGCATTGCTAGGTTCAATCCTGGTAGACCAGATAGATGCTGAGATGTGTATGAGGAACAAGCACATGCGTGATGAGTATTACCCTGTCCTCTCTATGAAGTAAGTTCTTCACACATCCCTCAACAATTCACTTTATTGTCCATCTATTCCCTACCTCAGGTGTTCCTTATGCCATGTGCACACAGACACTTCCACAAACATCATCAGCATTATCACTTTGGGTTGACTCTGACAGTCAGATCTTTATTCTGAGCCATTTGTCAACTATGTGGCACAGGACAAGCTATCTTCAGATTCGAGAGCTGGGAGAAAGAACAGTAGCTGCCCCTGTGATTTAAGGCTCCTTATGGACAGTTGCTAGTACTGCAATGTCCAGTTGAGCAGTGCGAAAGCTATGTCCTCATTTATATACTAAAGCCCCAGGTAGTTAGAATGAGAAACGTGTGTTTTGTGGCTTCAAAACCTGTCAGGAATAGCAAAGAGCCTGTGATGTGGCTCCTATCAGAGCACCATGGGAAAAGACCTTGCTTCAAGCAGAGTCATCATGATGCATCATGGGAAAAGACCTTGCTTCAAGCAGAGCCTTCACGATCCACAGAAAGGAGGGCTCCATAATCCACCATCTTCCAGCCACCACATGTAAAGTGATGCGCCCCATTGCTGCTTACATGCACCTGTCACCAGTCCTGTCTCTGCACCCTCACAAATGGCTGCACTAATTCTTCCCCCAACACACACTGAGTGTAGACTCATAGGATCGCCAGTTGCCAAGCGTTCTAAATATCATGGCGTACACCTGCAAACACATACCTGTCTTTTCCTCCGCTTCAGCCTCGGCTTCAAAATAAACTGGGGGGGAGTGATATTTACACGTTGAAATTCTACAAGGAAATGAAAACAAACAATGCATTTTCCAGACTTCTTTAATAGCAGGAAAATGTCATTAGTTCTTCTTTATACTTAGCGAGTATATTGAGGTATTCTGTTATGTTAATCATAAATAAGTATCTAGTGGGTAAATACAACGCACAAAATCTCAAACACACCTGTCCTGATTTATGTCATTTTTATAGCCGTACTATAAATAGCAATACATTGTTTATTTAAAACTTGCTAAGTAGACAACCCGACTGTCACTTCCACCACTAACATTCTCTAGAGGCTGCAAAATGAAGAGGAGAACTGAAAGCAAATACAGCACACTCTTAATTAACACAGGACACCAAAAACGTTTACTCAGTTGTGTCCAATTCGTAGGCACTCTTCTCAGCCCATGACAAACTTTAAGGCCTTGCTTGTTCTTGCAGGGCAATGGGACAGTCTGAGTCCTTCTAACTTGCAGGTTAGAATCATACACAAACTATTCAAGCATACAAATTCTCTCTGAGTTCTAGGTTAGGTATAAGGAAGGACTTTCTCCGAAGTGATGCAAATAGATGCAACCACCACAACAAAATTCATCCTGAGTGAGGTGACGCCAACCCAGAAAGACACACATGGTATGGACTCACTTACATAAGTGGACATGGGTCCCACACAGATGAATATACAAGTAGCACAAATTTAACTTGGTGCATTATTACTTTTTTAAAATAACTTTTTTTAAATAATAAGAGTGAGGAGATAGAGGGTTGATCTGGGAGTAGTCGGGGGAAGGACTAAGGGATGAACATGATCAAAATATATTATATGCAATATGAAATTCTCAATGAATAACAACAATCTTAGGCACATTAATACCAGATAGGTAGCTTTAGGACAAAAAAATACCCCTGTAAAGAGGAGTCAGGGTACGTAATGATGAGAAGGTCAGTTCACCAAAAAGATGTAACACTTCCTAACCCTAACCCTAAACCTGCCAGTCACCAGTGAGCAAGCCCAGACCTGAACCCCTAGTATTAGAGCCTTCAAAGAAAGTTATAACTCCAGCTGACAGTTACAAAAATCAGTGATGGCCATTCAGCTAAGCTACATTCAGGTACATGACTCTCAGAAATTGTGAAATAATAAATGTTTATCCACAGCAACTTCTATACTAAAAATGGCCAACACAACCAGAAATCATAAATGTCTTTAAATAGTTTTGTTTTTTTTCTTACACAGGTCCCTCTTTATTTGTAATCCCCCCCCACCCTGGCAAGCCAGGGAGGTTGGAGGCCACTCATCCACTGGTCTCTTGTCCTCTGCACTGATTAGGAAGGGCCCATTGCAGGAATGTTCTCTAGTAGTAAAGGTAGGACTAGGATTAAATAGCAAGTCTTAACCAACCATATAGCATGAGAAAGGCTGAGCTACATCATGAGGCATTGAAATAAACAAAAACAAATATGAAAGCCTTTGAGAAAAATTGTTTTGATTTGTGATGTTTTATTTATGTATTTATTTATCATATATATTATATAAATATATAAATATATATAATATATTTATATATTTATATAATATATATTATACATATATATATATTCTAAATACTACCTCACAGAGTCCCTCGCCATTCCCCCTCTCTGAGAGGGTTGGGCTCTCCCTGGGTATCCCCAACCCTGGCACATCAAGTCCCTGCAGGAAGAGGAATTACACATCCTCTTCCACTAAGGCCAAATATGGCAGCCTTATGCTACATATGTGTCAGGGTCTTCTGTCTAGCCCATGCATGCTCTTTGGCTGGTGGCTCAGTCTCTGAGAGCTCCCTCAGTCTAGGTTAGTTGACTCTGTTGGTTTTCCTGTGGGTTTCCCATCCCCTTCAGAGCCTTCATTCCTTCCCCCAACTCTTCCATAAGGGTCCTTCAACCTACAACCAGTGATTGGCTGTGGGTATCTGCATCTGTCTCAGTTGGCTGCTGGGTAGAACCTCTCAGAGGACAGCCATGCTAGGCTCCTGCCTTAAGTATAACTATTTATTTTAATCTTTTGTAATTCAGTATATCCGGAAGGGGCTGAGAATTAATTTTGTTTTGTTGTATTTGAAGCTAGAGATTAAACCAGGGCCTCATGCAAAACAAACAACAACAACAAACTCTAAATATATGAGGAATCATGCTATGCTATCCCCATGGACTGGAAGACTCACCACTAACCTGTCTGTTTTTCCACAGGTAATATAAAGATTTAATATAATCTATAAGAATTAAGAGGAATTATAGAAACTGACAAGTGGGTTCTAAAACTTGTATGAATATGTAAAGGACCTAGAAGGTTGAATTAACTTGAAAAAGGACAAAACTGAAAAAATGAGATATGGTATCTGATTTCAAAATACAGTATAAGGTCACAGTAAACCAGATAGATAGACAGATAAATAGATAGATAGATAGATAGATAGACAGACAGACAGACAGATAGATAGACAATGGGTAGCTAAATGAACAGAGTTAAAGGAATACTTTATGACAATCCAAATAATTCAGTGTTAATAGTACATCTAAAAAAATATAGGGGAATGCCAGGGTGGGAAGACAGGAGTGGGTGGGTGGGCGGGGAGCACCCTCATAGAGGCAGAGGGAGGGGGGATGGAATAGGGGGTTTCCGAAGGGGAGACCTGGAAAGGAGAAAATAAATGAAATGTAAATAAAGAAAATATCCAATAAAAAACAAAGTCACAGTGGGAAAAAAAGGCCTTTTATTCAGCCAATACAATCTATGTTGTTTTAACTTTTGGCTGAGGTCAAATGCAGAATGTGTAAATCCTTCTATAATGCAACAACTAAAGGAGAAAAATACAACTGACGACTAGTAAGCCTATAGTATGTATCACCAGTCAAAAAACTCGCAGATGAAAGCTCAGTGGCACAGCACCATGTTCCCTAGAATGGCTGACAAATATGAACACCGCAGAAATTCCTGAGTGTCTGAACTCCTGCCACATGGTGCTGATCCATTCTGAAGAAACAACTCGACAACTTCTCATGAAACAAAGTTTTTCAAGGTAGAATCTTTAGATTAATAAAATTGATATCTCTGGGGGACATGCTGAAAATGAAGTCTCAGAACTGACTCAGAATGTACGAAAATCAAGGCTTTGAGGTGAGGCCAGCAATGTGTGGCTGCCTGCAGGTACAGGCTGAAGTTTGATGACCCTGAGCCCAAGCTACACATATACCTTCCCAGGCCACACTTGAGTATTTACTAGAAGAAATAAAAACATGCTTCTAAAAAAATAGACATAATGGGGGGAGGAATAGGGAGGGAAAGAAAAAGTGAAGACTTACACAAAAATGTTCATGGTTACTTATTAACAATAGCCTCAAACTGGAAAAACCTGAGTGTCCATCAGCATAACTAATAAGAATTTACTATATTCATAGCACAGAATAAATTCAATAATAAAATCAATAAACAATTGCTACTTTTGATAACATAAATCTCATAGGCATATGCCTAGCAAAAGAAACAAAATATAATACAGGGTTCCATATGTTTGAAGTCCTACTAAAGGCAAGACTAGTCAGTAGGAAAAATAAACATAAAAGAAACTGCAGAAGTAGAAGGCAAGATGGGGGAACTGCACATGGCTCAGTAATAAAAACATTGTATCTCAATAGGGATACATAGGGACATAGGTACATTCAATCGGGCACACCCAGAGCCCAGCCAGTCATGCACAGGGCTTATGTTTTGTGCACATCAGTTTCTAAAGTGCAACTTGTTCACTGAAAACAAGATTCTTTTTTATCTAAAATGTGTTCTAAGGAACATTCGTCCTGAATGTCACAGAAAATAAAAGGAACCCTATAGTCAAACAAATTGGTAAATTATATTATATCATAGTAAATTATAAGTAATCTCAATGTTCTAACTTTGCATAGTGAGCCTATGAATTTAAAGAATACTGCTTTGCTGAGCACTGAGCATTGATGCATCAGATACTGCTGATAAAATTACCCATGCCCTGAGGTCAGTATTTCTATTTTGGTAAAGCTTCAAGAATGGCATATATAGCTTGATCATGCTAGCCCTTTTTGTCCTGGGAATACTTTATTCCTGCCCATTGTGTTAAAGCTTGTCTTTAACAGCATCAACATGTTGGCAGCCAAAGTGCATGGCTTGTACCTGAAAATAGACTCCAGACAGAGTTATTAAATTAAAAGGCTGGCAAGCCAAGGACAGTTATGATTCAGCACAGAGCCTTACCAACCTAAGACAGATATGCATTGCCTTTGATAATGCATATTCCATGACAAGTAAGGAAGACATTCTTCGCAGAACAAGGTAAGACAAGCTCAGTTTTGTTAATGAAATAAAAAGGGGGGAGAGGCAAAGAGCCTTTGGGGCTGCTTGGCAAGAATCTGACATAGGTCAAGGTCAAAGAAATGGTCTGTTTGGCAGGAATCTGACATTGGCCAAGGACTTCAGGCAGGAATCTGACATTAGGCTAGAGCAAAAAGTAATATCAGGCAGGAATCTAAATATTAGGCTAGAACAAGGAATTAGGCTTCAGACATGAAAATGACTTTGGGCTAGGACAGGGAATTGGCTCAGATATTTTGGTCATCCTGATAAGCCCTTAGATCTAAACAGTAATCAGGGGAGTGTTCACAGAAATTTGTTTATTGCCTTCCTTGTTCTTTGACTATTTGTGTTTATTGTCTTGCTTGTTCCTTGACTATTTGCATCTATTGTATTGTTAGTTCCTCAACCTAGAACTGACCTTAATACTTGCAAGTAATTAAAAAGGTATAAAAGCAAAAAGGAGGAGGGGGGATTGGATAGGGGGTCCCTAGGGAGGGGAAATGGGGAAAGGGGAAGGCATCTGAAATGTAAATAAATAGAATATTCAATTAAAAAAAAGAAGAAAAAATAAGTAATCTTGAAAGGCAATGCCACTCTTAAAATTGACAGACAAAAGCAACCTCTGATTAGAAAACTAGAAATAGACTGAGCATAGAGGTTTACAGTGTCAAACCCAGCAGGCCAGAAGGACCATTGCAAATCTGAGGCCAAAGTGGGCTACAGAGTTGGATCCTATCAGAAATAAAAATAAAGAAAAGAAAAAAAGAGTGCCATGTCACTTCCATAATTATCTCTGAAAAACAAAGTTTAAAAAAAAAAAAAAAAACTTGTAAGGTTACATTGTAGCACTCCCATATTGGAAGTCTTTGGTGGTAAATCTTCATTATTTTAAATATTAATCAGTGTTGATTGCTTCCAGGAAGACCTATGACTCTGCAGTTTTATTTGCTCACAGCCATTCAAGATTTATTTTGTTCCTTTAACTGGCATTATAAAGTTTCATAAAGTTGTTGAAAGCACAGCATGAGTCTTGTAGAGTAGGTGTGTTTATGTGTCTAGCAGTAGACTTTTTTAAGTAGTAGATTCTTTTTCAAATTGCATTATTTTGTATGCATGTCATAGCTGGGGCATGCATGTACCACACTGCACATGAAGGTCAGAGGACAACTTTCAGTCAGTTCTCTGCAGTTCCCATGTGGGTTCTGGGGACTAGGCTTGTAAGATAAATGAGCAGTCTCACTGGCCTCCAAAATTGTGAATTCACCCAAAGGGACTTGATATCCCTTTACCAAAGTAGAAAGTGTCAGTTCCTCTCTAGGTGAACTGCAGGAGGCCAATGAGTTACAACCTCATTCTAGAGAGGAAGGAACATTAGAATCTAACATTCATTTCATTTTCCAACAAGACAATATAACAGTTGACTACTTTTCTAACGGTAGTTTTGGATTTGCTCTTAGGCTGGCCACTTTTTTCAATGGTTTCTTGTCACTCTCTCATAGCAACCTTTCAAAGTATCATAATCCTTGTCCTTTAATAGCTAGCTGTGGGTCCCTGAAAAACAAACACGCGGAACCTCTATTTCTTTATATACAAAAGCAAAAACAATCAAAGAAATGAGTTATATCACCATACAAAGCTATGGCAAAAACTAAATTGATTAAGAGGAGCGAAAGACAGATTATGTCCCTTCCACAATCAAAGTTCCGCAAACATGGGGTTCCAGCACCAAGGGTGGCTCTGCTTGTCACATGACATGCACCTCTTCAATCAGCATTTATACAGATTAAGATATAAACAGAAATGAGAAGAAAATACGTGCCAATTTCACAAGGAGCACACAAATATATAAAATGTTAAACTATAATAACTTTTGCCTTTAATGCTAGAGCAAAGAGGGATGGAGAGACAGCATCTGGGGAGAGGACTCATGCCTGTGTTCAGAAAACCATCACTTCACCACCAGGGCGGATTTCCACACTGGTTACCATCTTTACAATTCTCTCTTCTAATTCCTTACAATGAGCTTTAATTCCTTAAGCGCCCCTCCTGTGTGCTGGAGCCATATCTTTCTGAACTTCTCAGCTGTAAATAAGAAGCTAGTTTGTATTGTATTCTTTCCTTCAGTGCAACTTGATAGTTCCCTCTAAAATGTCATGAGCCATTGTCAATTATTGTTTAGCATATATATTGGTTCTAAAGTAGTAACTGAATTACTGGGTTGCCATTTTTAAAAATTCCCAATATGAATACCATACCAGATGGAAGGTCATCCAAGGGAAATTCAAATAGTCTGGATTTGTACACAGAGTGAAGATGAGACTCCTCCTGAAATAGCACATGGGGCAGAGATTAAGCACACGTGAAGAAGTATCTTTGGCATCAGGCAATCATAGCTGGAGAAGCTAGGACCCTCAGAGAACCAGGTTTTTCAGAGGTGATGACCCCTGACTGCCCAGCCCCCATGGCAGTCCTCTACCACTACAACCACCCATTACAACCAAAATGCCTCACAGACAGAGGAGCCGAAGAGGCAGTCATGGAAAAGAAATGAATGGACCTATTTCCCCAAGGGAATGTAAGGCATCCAGGAAAACGGGTTAATGACTGGCTCCTTTCCCAGATCCCTGCTCCCACTTTAAGAGCCAGATATCTGCAGCAGGCAGTGACTACAGAGCTATCAATCTTCTTGGTGACTGTGAGCAAGATGACAGATACAAGCGATGCCCAGAATCCTGACATAGATGGTTCTAGAAACCCAGAGAAAAATGTAATACTTTTCCTTCTAAGAAAAATTACTAAATATTCAAATGATTTCATGTGGCTACATCTAAGTACTAAGAGATTAGAATATCACAGTATGTAAGGTATGTAAAACCTCTACAATTTCAGTGTCACACAGTAATACGCCTGTCTTAGTAGGTACACTGGTCAGATGGTTTCACCAACAAGGTTGTTTAACAGGTGGCAAAACAATGTGTATTTCTGGAAATTATCTCCTCTGTAAATGTTTGGCCAATGTTTTGTGAAACAAGGAAGTTCATTTGTACATGCAAAGTAAGGATTAAAGGCTATATCTTTTGCCCATAGTCTATCATATCTGGTCTTAGCCAAAGACCAACAAGGCTACAACAGTCTAAATGCTAACACAATCCTTTCCTAATTTGTACCAAATAAATGTATCAACTCCTAGAAGAAGAAAATTAAGAAGTCCTGGGTTTCGTATACTTCGTTGGCATTGAGCCTTAAAAGCCACATGCTGTGTAGAAAAGTATGGAATCTAGTAAAGAAAGAGGTGAAAATCTCGCATCTGTGGCTTTTGTCTGTTAGGGATTAAATGTATGTATCACATCCCAGACTCACAGCAAGTGACTGATGTTGATGGCTGTTAGTTCATGTCATTGTACCTACAGAGAGGGCCGATAGGAAAATAGTAAATGTTAAATAAAGCTGGGAGGGTGACATCCAAATGGAAAATGGCTGACGTTCTCATAGGGTGAGGAAGAGATGATCAGAGATCTCTCTCTCTGGGAGGTAAAAGTGCAGCAGAGAGCCTACAGGACACCGTCCTACTGGCATCTTGATTTGTAAAGTCATAGCCTACAGGGCAGGGAGAAAATACTTTCTGTTGTTTAAGTCTATGATATTTAGTGTAGTTATTTGTCTAAGTCAGGCACAAGACACACAGCAGAGAGAAGTATGGCTTCAGAACTCACTCCAGGGAAAGTATTTCCAACATAAGAGAGGAAGGGCAAAGAGAGCACTTACTTGCGACATCTCATTTTCTTCTGGCTCAATGAGATACGTATGGTTCCCATCATAGAACATCCCACTGCCAAATACAAAAAAAAAAGTGATTAAAAGGCTGTCCAGCCTCGTCCAGAGCAAGATCACTTTAGGGACAGCAGCACAGGAACAGTTCCATTTAGTCTGTTTCCATCACCAGATACGTGGGACATCGCACAGGAACACCACACACACACACACACACACACACACACATTTCTGCAAGTCAAAGGCTCCCCACTGGCAGACATTACCATCTTGAACTCCATGTCCTTCTGTGTTTTCTAGATGTTTTCCATTGCTCTTCTAATACAGAACCCTAAGACTTACTATACAAAGGTGACCCTAGAGTATCTGTGAAAGTTAGGAGCCTCTTCAGATTTCTAGGCTGGGGCTCTGGAAGCCATACTTAAAACAAATCCCACGTCTGAGTGCCAGCATATCCTTTTAATCCTAATATACTCTGTTTGTTCTGCCTCAGACATTAAAACAAGTGTCAGATGCTGGAAGTGGTAACCTAAGCTTGCAATCCCAAGTATTTAAAGGTGGCAACAAGAAGATCACAGGTTCAAGGTTGACCTGGGCAAATTCATGAGCTCCTGTCCCCAAATCAAATGTTGAAAAGAACAGCAGGTAAGGATAAAGCTTGGTGGTTGAGTGTTTGCCTAACATACACAGATAAAACAGGCCTGGGGAAAACAGCAACAAAGCCTGCAATAACAACAGACACCTAGATGATGCAGGTGACGCAGGTCACCTGAGATTGCACCAAGAATGGCCTCCTACCACACATCTGGAAAGTGCTTTGGAAATCAGAGTAAGCACAACACATCAACTTGTGCTGAACTAAATCTTGCCACAACTGAAGGAGAAGCAGCAACCATCTTCACTGTACAGGAGAGAGACTGAAGTAACCCTCCTAGATTAAATACCTCTTATAAAAGTGGCCAGAGGCAGTGCGTTCCGAGTACATGAACTGGTCATCTATGATCTGAGACCACCTTCATTCATTCACACAGTGTGAACTGACTGGCATGAGACCAGCAACGCACAGCTGCAGATGTGATATTGTAAACAAACCAAGGCAATTTCCTGTCCTCATTTTAGGGAGGATAAAATAAACACATAATAAAGAAGGAAATATAAGTTAGGTGAACATGAACTTTATGGTGGAAATAAAGCAGGTTATGGTAATCACTATCACTACAAGACTGGGTGTGGGAGCCCGGAAAGGGACGAGGACTATTAGTTTCTCCTAGGACTCCAGGGCCAGGCTTCACCAGAACAGCCACCTACCTACACTTGTACAAAGGGCATTTCAGATGCTCTCAGGTAAGAAAAGTCTTGGCATGATCCAGGAACAGGAAGAGGGCAACGTGGGGAGATTAGAATGAGCAGGGGCAGAGTAATAGAAAAACCAGTCACAGGCCTGGTAGACATAGTAGACTGTCTCTTCTGAGGGCCTTGGCTGTTACTAGGAGAGATGAGAGATCGCCATGCAAGACTCTAAACAGAGGAAATGTCCTCTCCCTGTTTTGATTTGTTTATTGAGACAGAATGTCAATCTTTCCTTAAGGTTGGCTTTAAATTAACAGTAATCTTTCTGCCTCTGCCTCTCTGCCTCTCTCTGCCTCTCTCTGCCTCTCTCTACCTCTCTCTCTCTGCCTCTCTGCCTCTCTGCCTCTCTGCCTCTCTGCCTCTCTG